AGGAAAAAATTTTTTTTTTTGGGTGCCGAAAAAAGCCAAATATTTTTTTTTTTTTTTTTTTTTTTTTTTTTTTTTTTAATTGGGGCTTGTGGAATAGACTGGAGGATTCCTTACTTTCAGGGGAAGTTGGAAAAAACTAGGCAGATGTGTAAATGTTGAAATGTGAGCTGAGCTGCTTTCTTCTCTAAGCGTTATCTTACAGACACTGAACAAAAATTGTTAAGAGATTCTTCATTTTGCAAAGCGAAAACATTGCTTTCTAAAATGCTTTGAAGTAACTATAGAAATAGCATGTGTTCACCTTAGTGGTTAGGCATGACAGTAGTTTTTTGAGAATTTTTATCATAATAATTCTCAATAGATAATATTGTTTCAGGGTCTGGATGTTTTGGAAATCATGAGAAATATTCATGTTTTTGTATCCCGCTACCTCTACAATCTGAATAATCAGGTAAGGTGTATCCCATACTTTCTCCTGGATTTGGCTCTGATTTGAAGGGCTTAAGAAATGCAGAGTAGTATACATGTAAGAAAAACCCAAGCTGAACATACATAATAACAAGCTGTAAAATAGCTATTGTTGCTCTAGAAAAACATCTTTGGGGATGCTGTAGATAGGTCTCAGAGAATGTTCTCTAACCAGATTTTGAGTACGGTGTGCCACTAGGATCACTCCATGTCAAATACTCCAGTGAAGCTAGGAGAAGGCAGCAAGGATAATTGGCTGCTACATAAGGACATACTAAGTACGTGATTTTTCAGCTTGAAAAAGGGTATCTGAATATGGGTTATTAGAGAGATGAAGCGGTGAATGACATGAAGATGATGTACAGGGAACAACCCTTTGTGGTTTCTCAGTGTGAGCATGAGGGGCCCACTACAGAAATGAGCAGCTTCCTTAAAGAAAAGGAAGTACTTTTTCTCATGGCACATAATTCAGTAGTGGAACTCACTGCCATGGTAGATAGTGGGGCCAAAAGTACAAACAGGTGCCAAAAGAGTTTAGACCAATTAATGTAGGATATAGTCTCAATAAATATGAGAGTTTGGGTACATCATCTGCCTTGGACTTCTTGAATCACCGCTTTGCGGAAATCAGAAGAACCTACCAGGTAAAGTTTATTGTATGCATGCTGTATTTTCTTGGTTTTTTTCCCTAATCAGCAGTTATTAGCTGCTCTCAGAAATAGGATATGGGCTACCTAGATTGGTAATTTATCACAGAATCAGTTTTGGGTAAATAACTTTATTTTTCCTTCCCTGCCTCCCAGATCTTCATTGAAAGAACAAGTAATAACAAACACTTGAACACTATCAATATCCGACACATTGCTAATTCAATTCGAACTCATGGAACAGGAATCATGAACACAACAGTGAGTATCTTTTGCACTGTTGTTGGATTATTTTTTTTTTTTTTAATAGTGCACAAAAGCCTTCAAACTCTTAAATTCCCTAATGGTTTTTTTGGGGTTGGATTTTTAATAATGCAATATAATTTTTTTTGGGGTTTTAATTTTGCACTGTTTTTGGATTATTTTTTTTTTTTTTAATAGTGCACAAAAGCCTTCAAACTCTTACATCTCCTAATGGTTTATTTGGGTGTGCAGTTTTAATAATGCAATAATAATGTTCTGTGCGTATTAATAAAACAAATCGGTTCTTGGACATGACACAAATCAATATCACAATCTCTTGGGAGTTATGCCACTTCCAGTTGTTACATACAAGTTAATGAAGAGATCTAAAAACACATCAAAGAAGATAGAGACGTTCTGGTGGGACTCTGAATTTCAGTAAAGATAAATAATACTTATCAAACTAGTATAGTAAAATATTGATTTCTAAGCTGCCTGCATAAATTAACATGTTCTAAGTTTCTCCTTATTGACACTTAGTAGACAGATGCTTTTGCTGCAGTTAAAGCAAATCTTGAAGAAATGCAGTGTTAATTTAAGTTCCTCTTGCAATCGTTAAGCTTAAGAAACATCAGCTTTTCAATTTGTGAAATAAAAGCTACAGATCTGTGATCATTTATTGGAAGACTGTGACTTCTTACTGCAATGCTTTTAATGATGTCTGTAGTGTAGGCGGTCATTTTAACAAGCTGAAGGCATTTACCTCTTTGCAAGGCAGATAAGGGCACTTCCTGTGGCATGCCTACTG